CTACTCGGGAGGCTGAGGCAGGAGAGTCACTTGAACCCTGGAGGTAGAGGTTGCAGTGAGCTGAGATGCTGCCACTGCACTCCAGCCTGGGTGACAAGAGCAAAACTCCATCTCAGAAAAAAAAAAAAAAAAAAAATAAGAGTTAACTGTTTTTATTATCTTTATAGTTTAGGGAGATGGGGGTCAGGGGAACAAATATGGGCTTCATTTCATTTAATTAAAAATTTTCTGGGTGTCTGCTATGTATCAGGTATTGAATTCAGCGTGAGGAAGAGACAATCCTGTCCTCAAAGAGCTCAAGTAAGGGACAAGACCGGTAAACACAAACCTTATAATATACTGTAACAATGGAAATTAACACCAGGTTTAGGAGTTGCATGGAAGAGGTAGTGACAAACTCTCTCTTGGGGAATCTCTGAGGATGGTGACCTCTCAGCTAGGCTTCGAAGGTGTATGGAGTTTGCTAGATGAGCAAGTGGCAGGGTGGAGAGCTTCTAGGCCAAGGATTAGCACTGCAAGGGCACAGACTCATAAAACACCGAATTTGGTTTTGCTCGACTACAAAGTGTGTGAGGGGACAGTGAGGGGGAGATGACGAGGTGGAGATGTAAATTACAGAATATCACGTAAATGCATTTAATTTCACTTATATCAATATTGCAGCATCAAATAGATGGAGCTGAAGATCGGCCAAGAAGAGATCATTGTGGCCAGATCATGAAAAGCCTGGTGCTTACTTAGCTTAGTTATGTGTAGGCTGAACCAAGGCAGTGGTGGTGGGAATGGAGAGGGAATGAGAGGTAATTAGGGGGTCAGGACCTGGTGATTGAGTGGGTGATAGAGGTGAGGGAGAGGGAGGAACCCAAGCTCACTGTCAGGTTTACCAGGCTTGAAACACGGGAGGCTTGTGGTTCTACCAATGGCTTTGTGACTATAGGAAGAGGAGCAGGTTTGGGGGGTAAAAAGGTAAGTTCTGTGTTGGACATGTTGAGTTTACAATGCCTGGGGAGTATCCAGGGGGAGATGTGGGCAGTTGGAACCACAACAGAGGTTCTATGATATGAGTTTATAGAGCTTGTCTGGAGGCAAATGGTTGGGATAGAACCTGGAGCCCTAAGGAAAATATTGATAATACCCAGTATTTCACATGTGCTTGTTCTCTGCCAGGTTGTGCTATGCACTTTACAGGCCATGCTAAATCAATGACTGATTTGCTAATCATTGTACCTCTAGCAACTGGCACATAATGGGCATACAATAATTATTTTGTTTAATAAACACTCTCATTTAGTCCATACAATAATCCCATGAGGCAGATATGATGAGTGTCGTCATTTTACAGATACGGAAAACAATTTAGGAAAGGTTAAATAAGCTGACCAAGGTCACACAACTGGTAAGCAGCAGATCCGAGATTTGAATCCAGCTCTTTGTGACTCTAAAGCCCAAAGTGCTTAACTGCATTGCTAGAATGTGAACATCTGCCCTTAAAGATGTGCTTTTGTGACCTGGGGTGAGACTTCAACCCCTCTGAGACAGTTTCCTATGCCAGATCAGGGGTGGGATTCGAAAATCTCTAAGCTGCCTTTCCGTCTTCAAAACTCTGGTGACATCAGGAGACTGCTATGAAAATGCCCTAAAGTGCATACACCACATCATTCTTAGATGCTCGATGTTCTGGTAGCAACACTGTGGCAGGCTCTGCAGTTGACACTCCTTGCAATCCTCTCATGGAACCTTTTTAAGATGGGAGGCCTGAGCAGTGTGTACAGAGCCACAGAAGTGTACCAAGCATGGGGAGGTGGGAGCAGTCTGTTTTAGGGATAGGCAATGAGAATGTATTTGTGTTCTATTTCTGTACAACAATTTACCACAAACTTAGCAGCTTAAAACAACACACATTTATTATCTCAGTTTCTGCAAATCAGAAGTCCAGGTATAGCCAGATGCTTATCTAGCAAACTCCATCCATCTTCTGAATAGAACAGTATTGTGTTCAAGGTCTCGCAAGGCTGCAATCAAGGTGTCAGCTGAGCTGTGTTTTCAGCTGGATGCTTAAGTGGGGAAGAGTCCACCTCCAAGCTCACTCAGGTTGTTCACAGACTTTATTTCCTTGTGGCTGTGTTACTAAGAGCTCCGGTGTTTTGCTGGCTGTTGGCTGAAGGTTATCCTTCGGTTCTAGAGGCTGCCTTGTAAACTTCAACATAGCTGCTCACATAATCAAGCCTGCAAGGAGAACCTCTCCAGTGCATGTCAGCAAGATGGGGCCATACACAGACAAAGACATCCCGTCACCTTTGCATTAAGAGGCAAGTCTCAGGTTCCACCTGCACTCAGATGGAGGGAATTACACAAAGGTATGGACATCAGGAAGCAGGAATTACTATGGGTCACCCTAGGATTTGTTATCCACAAGAGATCACATTATCTGCTTAGAATTTCAAACAAATAATAAAACCAAAAAAAGTTGGTCTGCCTTTTACCATTTTTCCTTATTTAAAACTTTATTCTTGATAAAGAAAAAATGAGAAAACCCCAAAACTTTCTTCTTTAATTGGCAACCTTCAAAAAAGATATTCACAACAGGACTCAGAGCAAGGACAGAGCTCCCCAAACAGATGGTTTTTCCTTAATTCCTCAGGCTGGAGCAGAGTTTAAACCGAGCTGGAATCACTCCGACTCTGGCCACAACCTAATCTCTACATCCTGGCCTCCATCATTGGCTGGAAGCTGATTTGCTTCGTCCAAGGGCCTAGTTTGAGGGCATTCATGGCTTCTGCAAGTTTGAGCATTGCTTGCTCCTGGTGCTGGCAGTGCCACTCAGCCATGGACTGGAGCACCACTTGGTTTGGAGCTTGTACCAATAGGAGCTGTAAGCCACGACCTCGGTGAGGTCTGAAGACTCCAGAGCCTTCAGTTGGAGCATGGCCTTGCTCATCGGTTCGATGTAAGGGATTATGTATCCGGGTCTGCTGGGGGAAGGGGATGAGAGCTCCCAGGTAGGGCATCCAGGCCAGCACTGGTCACACTCACCAAAGGTGGCTTCCAGCAGCCACGTCGGAACATAGAACACCTCTGGGCCTTTCAGGTCTTTGAGCAGTCTGCCTTTTAAATAAACACTATGAGCTGGCAATTCTAATGTTGTCAGTGACAAAGTACTTCTTCCTGAAAATATCTTTTGTTGTTTTAAGTTCTAAACATTTGCTGGGATCACTATTGAGTTTGAATAATGTAATACGTACCCTTCATTTTTAAAAATTACTTAAAAAACAGAGATAACACAATGACTGTGAGGACTGAATTTGGGTTGCTTCTGTTCCATGTAACCATTTGGAGTTTTTGTGTTTCAAATTTAAAACTGTGAAGCAGTGTGATACAGTGCTTTGCCATGTTTTTATTTGACAAATGCACATTTTAGTTAACACATCAAATATTTTTACTAGATTTGAAAATCATCTTTAAAATAGATAATTCCTTTTGCTTATTTTATTTATTTTTGAAAGAGGGTCTCCCTGTGTCACTCAGGCTGGAGTGCAGTGACTGCAATCAAGGCTCACTGCAGCCTCGACTGCCCTGGCCCAAGATCTTCCCACCTCAGCCTCCCAAGTAGCTGGGATCACAGGTGTGTGCTATTATGCCCAGCTAATTTTTTTTTTTTTTTTAATTTTTGTAGAGTTGGGGTCTCCCTATGTTGCCCAGGCTGGTCTAGAACTCCTAGGCTCAACTGATCCTCCTGCCTTGGCCTCCCAAAGTGCTGGGATTACAGGCGTGGACCACAGTGCCTGGCCCCTTTTGTTTATTTTAAATCTAAGGAAGACTCGAGAAAAAAACATTACATCAGTAGTATGATTTAGGAGTTGCACTACTAATACTAGGTAAGTTTCTCTTGTGCTGCCTGGAAATAAAAATAAACACTCAACACTAACTTGGGGCTCACAACATGCTTGACACTGTTCCAAACACACACACACACACACACACTCATTTTAAAAGTCCTCATCTACTCTTAAAGGTAGGTCCTGCTATTATCCTTATTTTTGTAGATAATAATATAGTCTGGGACCCAGAGATCTGCTCAAGATCATCCAACTGGAGTGGCAGCGCTGAAATTTGAGTCCAGGCAGTGTGGCTTCAATGCCTGAACTCTTAGCCATTATAAAGGAAAAACAAAGCAAAATCAGTATCCCCAACAACCTTGCAGGCAGGGAGGTCCTCAGAAGGGACAGGAGAGGCCGGGCGCGGTAATCCCGGCACTTTGAGAGGCCGAGGCGGGCGGATCACCTGAGGTACGGAGTTCGAGACCAATCTGGCCAACGTGGTGAAATTCCGTCTCTACTAAAAATGTAAAAAATTAGCCGGGTACGGTGACGCGCACCTGTAGTTCCAGCTACTTGGGAGCCTGAGGCGGGAGAATCGCTTGAACCCGGGAGGCGGAGGTTGCAGTGAGCCGAGATCGCGCCAGTGCACTCCAGCCTGGGCGATCGAGCGAGAGTCCATCTCAAAAAAAAAAAAAAAAAAGTAAAAGAAAAAGTAGGGACAGGAGGGCTTCCTTCCGTTCCTGACCAGCCCTTGCTGGCCCCTGGGCAGAGGCAGCGCCGGCTTCCAGGAACCTCAGGGAGGGACGTTTGGGAATGCTCTCTCAGCGTCCCCTTCACCGCCCTCTCTACACCCTTGCCGCGCTCCTGTCCTCGTCCGCCAGGCCAAAGTTTCTCCTGGCCCTTCCCAGCTTCCGGCCCTTCGCTCCAGGCCAGGTCGCAGGGCCAGGCGGTGCCAGGAGCTCGCGAATCCTCTGTTTACTGTTTGGTTTCCACGGTGACACGTAGGCGCCGTCAGCGACTCCCGTCACCGCCCCGCAGCGCGGCCCCCACCCGGCGCCGTGACGTCGGCACTCCGCTTCCGCTCTGCCCATATTTGGCTCAGCCACTGCGCAGCCGGCCCGGGATAGGCTGAGGGCGGGACTCCCGCCGCGCCCCGCCCCCGGTTCCTGCCCCGCCCCCTGGAATGCTGGGCAGAGGCTCCGAGCCAAGAGACCCCCGCCCCCTGCCCCGGGACCCACCTGGGCGGAGGCGAGGGCAGGAGCGCTGGGGGCCCAGAGAGAGGACGCCGCGATTGATGGATGAGCTGTTTCCAGCATTCCTGTGCGTCTGCTGGTTGAGGCTGCAGTCAGGATTTGGGGCTGTCTCGTTTGTTGTGGGTGGGTGATCTGGGATCACGATTTTCTCACTCTGTGCCCGGAAATCATGCCATCCCTCGCCCAACGCTGTATTTTATAGGCTTCAACTCAAAATTTTCCTTCATGGCGCAGTGGAAAGCTTTGAAGACCGCGGTTCTGGGGTCAGCGTTGCCTCTCGGGGGATAAGTGACCTTGAGAAGGCCACTTGCCTTTTCCTGGCCTGATAAAATGAACCGTGGGGGTGGTCCATAATGGTTGCAGCCTTGTCATCAGACTTGTGAGGGGAGCTTTTCCATCACCCACTAACCACCCCCTCCCCAGGACATAACTGGAATATCAGTGAATTTCTTTGAGCATGGACCCCTACAGTTCTGCCCCCTGTGGGGATTGGATTTGTGTGTCTCTGCACCTTGCTCCTATTAGGCGCTTAATGAACTTTAGTTAACTGATTATTGAATGAATAATACGAATCACGTTCATAAATCCGGACCCCTGCAATTCCTCTTCCAGGCCGGGGGGCGGGGGCGGGGAGGGTAGGGGATGGGGGAGAATATTGCGATGATTAATAATCGCGCGGCAGGGTTGCTGATGTAAAGCGATTTGCAGATCTAAAGGGCAATAAGCATTCCTGGGAGAAATCCAGCGAGATTCCAGAAGTCTCTGAGGGAGCCGTGGGTGTGTACCGCCGGGCCCGGAGGGCGGGGGTGGGGCAGGCAGTGCCGCAGTGGCCACTGCTGGGGAGCCGATTGCAATTGCGAGGAGAAGCGTGGGGTTAATCCTTCAAGACGCCTGTCGCCATCCTCCCACCCCCATTCCTGCCCCCTAGATTCCCCAGTTCTTCTGGCTGAAGGAGTGTGTGTTTTCTAGAGTTTCAGAGCTGGAAGGCACATCGGAGACTTAATCTAATTTAACCTATTTCGCCAACAGGGAAATTAAAGCTCAGAGAAGTTGGTTCAACCATCCAAACTTGCACAGCTAGTTAGAAACTGATAAAAGTCAGGATATCTAGCTTCAAATAGTGTTCCACATCGCCTAGGTGCTTCTAACTTCCTGTGCTTCAGAACCCTGTTGCCTGGCTCAGCTGGTGGGTTGTACATTTAGGCTAAATATTGACTTCAGGGCTCTTAAAGAATGCCATTGTCACGTCTGCTGCCACACGCAGCCCTCACCATGACGCCAGGGCCTAGGGGGATGGCCAATAATTGTGTACTTCCTAAAGCCTCAAGCACTCCTCCTTAGAGGGCTGGAATGGTCACCCCTGTCCAGGGAACAGGAGTTGGCTGTTCTGAAACTAGTCTTCGTCTAGCAGTTGGTCACTTTTCACAGTTACCCAAGCCTTGCATTAAACTTTTCTCAGCCAAGACTACAGCAGGAGACATGAGTAGCCCTAACCCTTTTCTGCTGTTTGGAAGTCTTCTCAAGGCACACGGAGGTTCCTTGCTGGGGGTGGGGAAGAGTGCCTCTTTAATGCTGCTCTCTTTGTCTTTCCCCTTTCAGTCTCACCCAACTTCCTCTTAACTGGGGGTGTTTCTTCCCTAACTTCTAGGCTGAAAATGAAGGCAACTCGGACTAAGACGACGACTGCTTTCCAACTGCCCTCTGGCCCTGCAGCCCGCGGATTTGAGGAAGGGGCTGGGATCCTTCCCCTTGCTCCCTGGTTGTTCTCGGAGTTACAGCAGTCCCGCGGCAGCTCTGCCTCCTAGTGCACATGTGAGGCAGCGCGCCCTTCTCATCCAGAAGCCTCCTCGCGGTGCTGCCAGCAAGGGAGTTTTTCTGTATTCACTCCGGTGGAACAAGCAAAACTTGACAACCCCAAGCCAAACCAAAACACACGAGCCATTGTAGCCTTTTCTCTCTTTCGTTTCTTTCTGAGGATCTGGTCGATTTGGATGCAGAAAACATGCCTGTTGCTTCTGCTGCGAAGTCTGCTCTTTCTCTTCCTGCTATCCGAACCCTGCCCCTCCTTTCAAATTCAGGTCAGGTGCGGTGGCTCACCCCTGTAACCCCAGCACTTTGGGAAGCTGAGGCAGACGGATCACTTGAGGTCAGGCGTTTGAGACCAGCCTGGCCAACATGTTGAAACCCTGTCTCTGCTCAAAATACAGAATTTAGCTGGGCAAGGTGGCAGATGCCTGTAATCCCAGCTACTTGGGAAGCTGAGGCAGGAGAATTACTTGAACCCGGGAGATGGAGGTTGCAGTGAGCTGATATCAGGCCACTGCACTTCAGCTTGGGTGACAAAGTGAGACTGTCTCAAAAAAAAAAAAAAAAAAAAGCCCATTTCAAATTCCACCCCTTACCTAAACGCTTTTCCTGACTTTCCTTTCCTATGCGTCTTTTTTGTTTTTTATTTTTGACCTGGAGTCTCACTGTGTCACCCAGGCTGGAGTGCAGTGTCGCAATCTCCGCTCACTGCAACCTCCGCCTCCCGGGTTCAAGCAATTCTGCCTCAGCCTCCCGAGTAGCTGGGATTACAGCCACCCACCACCATGCCCGACTGATTTTTTTGTATTTTTAGTAGAGACGGGGTTTCATCATGTTTGTCAGGCTGGTCTCGAACTCCTGACCTCAAGTGATCCACCCGCCTTGGCCTCCCAAAGTGCTGGGGTTGCAGGCATGAGCCACTGCGTCCAGCCATCCTATACGTCTTTTGAATTATGGCTGTACACAGGTTCCGCACCCAGTGTGCACTTATATACTGTGTTTCTTTATTGGGGTCCAAGTCTGTACGTCTTTTTTGTTCACAGACCCCAGGGTGCCCAGCACAGGGCTGGGGACACAAACTGCTCTCAATAAGCCCTTGTTTATTGAATTGACTGATTAGTTTCCACAGAAACAACCCTGAGCTTTTGCTTCGATAAACCTTCCTAAAGAACTCTTAGTTCTTTAGGGACTCTGGATAGTGATCTAATCAAATATGGCCTTGCACAATAAGTCGTTTCACAAAGCAATTTCACAAGAGAACAGTAACATCACCCAGAGCGGGATGAGGAAGTCTGAAATTTGAAGAGGACTCTCAGAAAGATGAGGAGAGTGGCGGTGGTGTAGACAGGTCAAAGGACAAAGACTTAGGAGAGATGGGCCTCTGCTTCCGGGATAGAAGATGCAGCTCTAAGGTTAACTTCATATCCAGACTCTACCACTTGCTGTGTGTCCCTGGACAAGTTTACTCTTCTCTCTGTGCCTCAGTTTTCTCATCTGTAAAAAAAGGCTGGGCGTGGTGGCTCCTGCCTGTAATCCCAGCACTTTAGGGGGCCAAGGTGGGAAGATCACCAGAGGTCAGGAGCTCGAGACCAGCCTGGACAACATGGTGAAACCCCATCTCTACTATAAATACCAAAATCAGCCGCGTGTGGTGGCACGCGCCTGTAGTCCCAGCTACTCTGGAGGCTGAGGCAAGAGAATCGCTTGAACTCAGGAGGCAGAGGTCGCAGTGAGCCAAGATCGCGTCACTGTAGTCCAGCCTGGGTGACTGACAGCAGACTCTGTCTCTAAAAAAAAAAAGTATCCATCTCATAGTGATACAATGAGGGTGAATTAGTTGGTATTTGTAAAGTGCTAAAGCAGCATCTTGCACCTCATAAGTACCATGTAACTGTTTGTAAATGGATTTTCCAGCTTAGCTGTCTTGTCAATGGAATGGGGGTTGATTATATGTGCTCTTGGTTCCCTCTAGCAGTGACCTTTCAGGGCAGTGCATAAGCTTCGGGGTCAGGCAGGTCTGGGTTGACTCCTATCTCTGTCGGTAGTTGTGTGACTTTGCACAGATAACTTCTCGGAACCTCAATGTTCTTATCTGTGAAATGGGAATAATTGTGTCTATTTCAAAAGACTGTTGTAGGTATTGCATGTTTGTAATGTGCCTGGCACAGAAGGAGCGTAATAAAGAGAAACTATAGTTATTATTATGGACAAGAGGAGTCACATGTAAAGGAGAATAGCGTTTCCAAGGTCATTGAAGTTTCCAGAAAGATTGAACATATCAAATAGCAACGAGACCAGCTCAACTTGTGGAGCTTGGTGGGAGGGTGGGCCTGGGTCTGCGCCAGGAGTAAATATCACCCCATTTGAGGAAACAGAAACGGTCCGACTTGCACATCAGCTCTAAGAACACTTTCTGCTCCAGGGCTGTGCTGAGGGCGTGGACCCACTGGGGCTGGATGCCAGGAGCTGGAGGCCTCTCCTGCTCTCCTTCCCAGGAGGGGAGACTTTAGTAGAGAGGGTGTGGGTGGGCCTTGGAAACCTCTTGTTGTGTGTGTGTGGGGTTTGGGGGAGTGTCAGAATGGCCCAGGGATATCTGGCCCTGGAACATGGACTCCCAGGCCTGGGGTGGCCTTCCTCATGGCAGAACTTGCCTTCATGGCTCCTCAAAGCTGCCATCCCTCACTCCAACTGAAGACTGACTGATTGCCTGCAATTATCTGAGGGGTGGGGGAAGGAGGGTTATGGTAGTCTTGCAGCCGAATTAATCTTAATTCCCTTCAACTCCGTGTGTGGAAAAGTACTCAACGGAATATGCAAATGCTGCATGTATTCCTTCAGTTCTTTTTGAAAGGGGAAGGAGGGTTGCAAAATCAAACAGTGATAGGGTGTCGCAATCCCAAACGTGTGAGGAATTACTCTTAAGGTCCTCATACTTGACAGCTCCGGGCCCCCATGACACATGAGGAGTTTTGTGCTCCGAAACAGGCCAGGGCCAGGGTGTCTGCCACTGTTACCACTAGCTGTGATTTGGGGATCCCAAACACAGCCCCATCTTAGGAAAACCATCTTAGGAACTGGGGATCACAGAGGACTCTGCAAACCTCCGTCCAAACTCATATTTCCAGTGATGGCAACAGGTGGGCCCTGAGTAACCCCTGCAGCAGAACTTGAAGGTTGAAGCTATCTTAAAAAACAAAACAAAACAAAACAAAACAAAAAAAACGTGGACCAGGCTTGGTGGCTCATCCCAGCACTGTGGGAGGCTGAGGTGGGAGGATCACTTGAGGCCAGGAGTTCAAGACCAAACTGGCCAGCATAGTGAGACACTATCTCTTAAAAAAAAAACAAAAAACAAAACAAAACAAAAACCATAGCTTCTGAAGAGTCATGAAGGTGCGAATATTGGCTGTTCCTGGGTGGGAGGGAATGTGTTTTTATTTTCTTCTTTTTGCTTGTCAGTACTTTCTGATTGTCTTTTTTGGCAAGTACATTTTGCTTTTGTAATAGGAAAAAAATATTTTCAAAACATTCTCAGCAGAGTAGTATGTTTGTTTTTAAAATAGATAACAACATAATAAATGGGAAGTTTCCAACACCTCTTCACTTGTTTTAAAAAAACTTTTCCCAAAAGAAATACATGCTCCTGGTAGAAACCTTTGAAAATTCAGATCCTTAAAAAATAGAGAAAATAAAAATTGACTGTAGTCCCATCACAGGAATAACCACTGTCAACATTTTTAATTCTACCTTTCCAGTACACACACTAGTTGTATTTTTAATTTATTTTTTGGACAGGATATTGCTCTGTCACCCAGGCTGGAATAGTGCAGTGGCACCATCCTAGCTCATTGCAGCCTTCAACTCCTGGGCTCAAGTGACCCTCCCACTTCAGCCTCCTGAGCAGCTGAGACTAGAAGCACATGCCACCACTCTGGGCTAATTTTTTATTTTTTATAGAGATGGGGGGGGTCTCACTATGTTGGCCAGGCTGGTCTCAAACTCCTGGCCACAAGCGGTCCTCTCTGCATGTTAGCTTTATACTTCAATTTACATACTGTAGTTTTTGCAAAACAGGACCATGCTGTAATATTTGTAATTACAAGTATTATAATTTTGCTTCTTCTACATGGTAGTTCATGGACATCAATTTTTTTACATGATCACTTTAATAGTCATGAGGCTGGGCGTGGTGGCTCACGCCTGTAATCCCAGAACTTTGGGAGGCCAAGGCGGGTGGATCATAAGGTCAGAAGTTCGAGACCAGCCTGGCCAACAGTGAAGCCCTGTCTCTACTAAAAACACAAAAAATTAGCCCGGCATGGTGGCATGCACCTGTAATCCTAGCTACTTGGGAGGTTGAGGCAGGAGAATCGCTTGAACCTGGGAGGTGGAGGTTGCAGTGAGCTGAGATCCTGTCATTTGCACTCCAGCCCAGGTGACAGTGCGAGACTGTGTCTCAAAAACAAAAACAAACAAACAAACAAACAAAAATAAGTTACATAGATTTCTAGTTCTAAATGACCCACAATTTAACCTACCCTATGTCGTTGAACCTTTGAGTTGTTTCTAAATTCTGTGCTATTATAGAAATGCTGCCGGGACCTCTGCACACATCTAAGATGACTTTTTCAGAAGTGGGCCAAAGGGTGTGCACATTTTGAAGGCTTTCGAAATGCAGTCGTGCAGTCAGCATACTGTCAAATAGGACAATGTGCAGTCCCTGTTATCACACAGGAGGGTAGTCTTGGTTCAACCAGTTTCTAGCTGTGTAATCTTGAGAAAATTACTTACTCTCTCTACACTTCAATTTCCTCAAGTGTAAAACTGGAATGATAGTAGCTATTGGATAAGATTGCTGTGAGGGTTAAATGAGAAAAATGTGGAAAGTGATGCCGGGCCCAGCACATGGCGAGCTCTCAATGAATGCTGGTTGTGTCTAACTTAAAGAGTGTCTTCTTTTCAGGGGAAGAAGTTGGCTTGGAGATTGACATCTGATTTCCTGGAAAAGTTGGGAGCAGGTGGAGATGGTAAGTGAGGCTGGGTGCAGTGGCTCATGCTGGTAATTCTAGCACTTTGGGAGACCGAGGCTGGTGGATCGCTTGAGTTCGGCAGTTCAAGACCAGC